AGGACCGTAAGGGCCAGAGCAAGCCTAAGGAGCGATTGCCAGGGCCACTGCTGCCAGCCGGCCTGTGCTGGGCCCTGGAGGCCTGGAGGAGGCTGTGGGGCCGCGGTACAAGCAGGGTCCATGAGCGGCCCAGGCAAGGCCCGCCCTGCATCCTCTGCCTATGAGCAGAGGCGCCACCATGACCCTTGTTCACAGACGGGGACCCGGGAGCAGAGGGCGCCACAGTAACCAGAACAGGCGGAGAAAGCAGACATACCCTGCCCCCTGACCCACCTCCCCCAGGGCCCAGCAATTCCCCCCAAGACGTCTGGTTTCAGAGACGGTTGCTGGGGGCGGTTCTCGGTGGCTCAGTTCTGTTATGAACAAGGTGGCCAAGCAAGCCACTGCTCAAACTGGCGGACCCTTGGGACAGACTGGGAGATTACTACAGGCTCCCTGGAGGAAGCCGCACTCAAGCCCTGGCCTGCCCAGGCAGAGGCTGACCCCTGCCGGGCATGAAGGTGCACATGGGCACTGGCTCCACAGGGGGCCGCTGCAGCCTGCAGACTGCTGGCAGAGAGGCCTGGGAGGTCAGGGAGGAAGAGCCGGGCCAGGGCCTGCGGAGCCTTGCAGGACAGGGAAGACCCAGCGCGGGGTCTCCCCACCCAGACATCTTGTCCAAGGGAAAGCCCCTGCGGGTGGTGAGGGGTCAGACAGGATGCTAGAAACGACACCACGCCTTTCGCTCACCCCAGCACAGCAGACACAGCTCGACCTTCCTAACTGGGGTGAGCCCGGGGCTCCAGCCACATGCTCAGGCCAAGATCTGACCTGGACCTCCAGGGCGCGGGCCTGAGGTGAGGATCCTGCTTTGCTACCACGTGGGCTGCAGAGCACCGGCCGGGCGAGGGGACGCACGACACCTGGGTTTGCGTCCTGCGAAGGGCTCGTGTGAACGCGAGCCTTGAGAGCACAGCCCGAGAGCACTGGGGGGCGCTGGGGGGCGCTGATTCAAACTCATCCCGGAAGTGCGACACAGGCTGGATCCCACGCGGCTGACAGCAGGGCCGGTCCCAGTCCCAGCAGCTTGGAAACACGCAGGCGCGTGTGCATGGGTGCCCAAAATCCCAGGAGAAGAACGGGGAAGGGACTGAAGTGTGGCCATCCCCCTGGGTGGGTCACTTCTCACTCCCCCCGACCCCCTGCCTAGCAAGCACACATGCTCTGTAGCACATTTACACGGGGGGTGGAGGGGGGGTTTACAGACCTGCAGATCTGCAGCACAGGCCGCTCTTAGGGGTGACGGGGGTGAACGGCCACGGGGTGCAGCCTGCCCTTGCCTCTCCGCCGACCTCTCCCTCCTTCCTGACGATGGAATCCCTGTTGCTTTTCCTGTGGAACTCCCTCCACCCAAGGGGACAGGCCCTTCCAAGCCCAGAGGTCGAATCAGGCCTGGGGGCTTCTTCCCTGTGTGGGCCAGATGGGACAGCACCCATGTGACAGGCCCTGGCCCAGGACACGGAGCGTGTGCTAGGGCAGGGAGGCATCTCTAGGAAGACACCTTCCCTCTACAACGAAGCCAGCAGAGAGGCCTACGTCTGCATTCCTACTCCCGGCCCTGGAAGGCAGTGCCGGCCCCACACGCAGGCAGCAGGGCGGCCGGCCTGGCGGACAGGAGCTGTCCTGGCTCTACCTTAATACAGCCAGGGCCAAGAGCTGTCCCCTGGCAGTCTCCTGCTGTTCTCCACCCCGTGTTGCTGCTGTTTTACGGGAGAGCCTCCCTGACTGTAACCAAGGCCGCTCCCACCTTCCCGCGAAGTGGGGCCAGTGCTGCCTCCAGGATCAGCTCTCTAGTCAGGAAGGCCCGGGGGGCAAGGCCCGGCGGGGGGAGGGGGGTCCTCGGGCCTCGGCTCACCCCTGCACAGCCACACCCTCCGGGGTCACCTTGTCTGCAGCTCCTACGGGGCGATTACGTTTCCGTAGGTGGAAACAGCCCTGCGCCTCTGTCAAGATGTACAACAGTCCACATGCCGCCAAATAACTGGCTTTGTGTGTCCCTGATCCCCCGTCTGGAACTCCTTTTTTTCTTTTTTTCTTTAGGTTTTTGCCATAGGGCACGTGCACTCCCCAGCTGCAGCACAGGCCGCTCTTAGGGGTGACGGGGGTGAACGGCCACGGGGTGCAGCCTGCCCTTGCCTCTCCGCCGACCTCTCCCTCCTTCCTGACGATGGAATCCCTGTTGCTTTTCCTGTGGAACTCCCTCCACCCAAGGGGACAGGCCCTTCCAAGCCCAGAGGTCGAATCAGGCCTGGGGGCTTCTTCCCTGTGTGGGCCAGATGGGACAGCACCCATGTGACAGGCCCTGGCCCAGGACACGGAGCGTGTGCTAGGGCAGGGAGGCATCTCTAGGAAGACACCTTCCCTCTACAACGAAGCCAGCAGAGAGGCCTACGTCTGCATTCCTACTCCCGGCCCTGGAAGGCAGTGCCGGCCCCACACGCAGGCAGCAGGGCGGCCGGCCTGGCGGACAGGAGCTGTCCTGGCTCTACCTTAATACAGCCAGGGCCAAGAGCTGTCCCCTGGCAGTCTCCTGCTGTTCTCCACCCCGTGTTGCTGCTGTTTTACGGGAGAGCCTCCCTGACTGTAACCAAGGCCGCTCCCACCTTCCCGCGAAGTGGGGCCAGTGCTGCCTCCAGGATCAGCTCTCTAGTCAGGAAGGCCCGGGGGGCAAGGCCCGGCGGGGGGAGGGGGGTCCTCGGGCCTCGGCTCACCCCTGCACAGCCACACCCTCCGGGGTCACCTTGTCTGCAGCTCCTACGGGGCGATTACGTTTCCGTAGGTGGAAACAGCCCTGCGCCTCTGTCAAGATGTACAACAGTCCACATGCCGCCAAATAACTGGCTTTGTGTGTCCCTGATCCCCCGTCTGGAACTCCTTTTTTTCTTTTTTTCTTTAGGTTTTTGCCATAGGGCACGTGCACTCCCCAGAGACAGAGACAGTGAGAAAGCACTCCTCCTGCAGGTGGAGGTTAGTCCAGGGCCCTAACCTCCACCTACAGGACCTCTGAAACTCCGTTTTTAAGCTGAGACCTCATTGAAGCAACCCGCCCTACCCCGCCAGGTTAGCACAGCCCGGAAGAGGAGGGTTTGCTTTTGCTTTCTCTGCTCTCCCCGCTCTCTGAGGCTCTCGATCTGCTCTCTGACAACTTGTGTCTAGACAAGACCCCAGCATGACCCTTGAACTAGAAAGAGGCCCTCGGGGCGTCGTTGTAACCAAAGGCTGTGCAGGGGCAGGGCTCAGGCACAGAGATCAGACGCGGAGCCCGGCGGGGTGTCTGCACTCAGACCCCAGCAGGACCCCAGCAGCTCCAGCTACTCGGGGAACACGAGACTCCTAAGGGCACCCTTAATCATTTTCACCGTCATCAGCCAGCCTGTGTTCTAGAAACTTCCATAGGCCGTGGGCTATTTTCAGAACTGGAAGTCCAGGGTCAATAGATGGTGTAGTAGTTACATTGCTGGACTCCCACATGGCCAACTGCGGTTCAAGTCCTGGACCCGATGGCTTGAAAATCACACTGGCTGTGTGTGTGTGCATGCCCAAAGTCCTGAAAGGAGAGTGGAGGAGAAGGGACTGCGTTGTGGCCATTGCCCTCCAAGGGGGGTGGGATCTGTCACTTTCTGTCTCTATTTCTCCTGTGAGCGTACGTGTTCTACAGCAGAAAATCTTTCTCCAAAAGAAGAAAAAGAATAGAACTGGAAGGTCACCCACCAGGCAGTGGAGTAGAACAGAAGTGTTAGATGAGGTTGGTGCCCTGACAGCTTCACGGCCTAGCTGGAGGCGCCTCATGGGACGGCCTCTGCAGTCGGACTCCGGCAGGGCTGCTTTCGGACACTGGTGTTCAAGGTAAGTCCCTGCAGTTACCCCGCTCTGGAAGCCCACCTTCGCTTTTCATGGGGCCACAAGACGGACTGCGCTCGACTGTCCGCCCCGTTGGTGGGTTTCTCTGGCTGGGGCTGAGCTCATCCCCTGGGGTATCTGCCCATGCCGCGGCACATTGTGGAGTGCTCAGCTGGGGAGCAGAGGGCAGGGTGCATACAACGCCCGGGATGTGCCTGGTGTGGGGGGCCTGGCCCCACGTGCCAGCGGTGCTGGCCGGAAGCCCAAGCCAGGCTTCCTGGCTGTGGGACTCGTCAGAGCGATGACGGAGGCACAGCCTTGGCATCTCAGGACGGGGCGGTGATCGGCCACATGTGACCTCAGGTGGACTGGCTCAAGGCCTCGCAGCCCTGCTGTGCTCACCAGGGAAACGGCAGAGGCCACGGGCAGCCGAGCTCTGGCAGGGGCTTACCGGTCCACGGCGATGACCCCGAGGGTGAGCATGCTGGCCGCGCTGATGAGCAGGTAGAGCAGGGCCGAGAAGTTGCACCAGACCACGCCGAAGACCCACTCCTTGCGCGCGGCGCTGGTCACCACGAAGGGCAGCACCAGCAGGGACAGCAGGAGGTTGGACAGCGTCAGGCTGAAGACGAACTTGTTGCTGAGGGTGAGCAGGTGGGAGCGGCGGTACAGGGTGACCACGACGACCAGGTTGCCCAGGCAGACCAGTACGGTGATGAGCACGATGGCCACGAACTCAGGGACCACGACGCCCCCCGGGCTGCCCTCTGCCGCCGTCAGGTTGCTCGGCGCCTTCCTGTGGCCGAGGGAGGAGTCGGGGCTCATGGTCGGCGCGCCTCGGCGGCGGGCGGGCACATGCTGCGCGCTGGGAGGGCGAGGCCGGGACAGGAGACGCCGTCAGACCACGGTGCCCACCTTGCCGAGGCTCCAAGGCCACCGGGCACGGGCGAGCCAGACTCAGCCTCCCCGCGGGGCCACAGCAGCTGCTGCTCCCGACCGTTGTCCCAGCCAGCGGCTCTTCCTTCTGCCCACCGCCCCATCCACCATCCCCGAGGGCAGCCTCGGCCGAGCGGGGTGCAGAGGTTCCACCAGACATGCCCCCCATCTGACTCCGTGAGGCCTTTCTTTCTTTCCTTTTTTTTAGATCTTTGCTAGAGGGCTCCCCAGAGACAAAGTGAGCGATCACCCTGGGGGTGGGGATGGCCATGCTGCTCTCCCTTCTCCATTCTCTTGGGATTTGGGACGCGCCCACACATACACACAGCGTGTTTGAAGCAACCGGGTTGGGCCTCAAACCATGATCGACTCTGTGGGAGTCCAGTGACGTAACTATCTCACCATCTGCTGGTCCCTGAGGCCTTTTCTGGCTCCCATCTTGTTGAAGCCTCCCACATGCCTAAGAGTCATGGCAGCGCCAATTCTAGGCCGATTCTCAGCTCCACCCCCAGTCAGGGTCCAGACACCCAGGGCGGCCAGGGCTCTGCTTTCTAAGGGTCTGTGCCCGGTGGTATGTGGGGAGGCTGGGCTGGTGCAGACCCAGGGCCTCAGGTGGCCTGGGCACCTGGGGGTCGGCACTGCCTGGAAGCAGGCAGAACCCAGGCCTCCGGAGGCCTCCAGGACAGAGACAGACCGTTCGGCCCTGCCCTGCTGACATGCCGGGGCGCTGCTTACCCTGGGGTGCCCTTGCCGTGCAGGTGGGCAGGAGGGCAGGGCCCGGCGCTAATGTGAGTGGGGGGCACGGATGGCACCCCAAGGTGCAACCCTGCTCTTGCAAACTGGCCGCGGAGCTTGGCTAAAATCAAGGTTGACGCTTTTTTTAAAAAGGTTTGTAGGTTTTTCCACAGGAGAGAGACAGAGAGGGGCAGTGAGAAATGACCCCCAGGGCAGATGGCCATGCCCCCATCCCTTCTCCTCCTCCCTCCTCTCAGGACTTGGGACACGCACACACACACACACACACACACACACACAATTTTCAAGCTGCCAGGCGTAAGGCTCAAACATGTGAGAATCCAGCATCTTCACCACGTCACCTGCTGGCCCCAAGAGAATCCCACAGAGAAACGTCTCTCCAACACTCCCCACCTACCCTAGTCACCTCCCGTGGCTGCCTATGGGCTGAGACACCCACAGCTCACCCTCCCCACTGCTTTCCCCAGGCAGGAGGAAACGCTGCTTCCTGTGGGCCCGATGAAGGCCTGGGCCTGAACAGTGGCCACGCTCCGCGACGTCCCTGTGGGCCTGACCGTGTGTGGGCTCCAGCCAGCGCTCTGGGGCCTACTCTTCGGGTGGACCAGATAGTTTGAATCCCTCTTCTGCTTGCTTTTCTTCTCTGGGGGAAATCCCCCCAGTCCCTGCTCACTCGTCCTCGTTTCCAGATCCTTCGCTGACTCGGTTCCCGGCTTGGCACCCCTCACAGACACTCACGAGCCTCTCAGTCTGTGGCCCCAAATCAACCAGGGTCTAATCCGAAGGGCAGTACCCTCCCTGACCAGCACGGCCCCCTTCACTGTCCTCCGAGGACACATTCCCTCGCTGCAGCTGGGCCGTCTGCTGGGCTCACGCAAGTGCGAGCTCAGCTGGCACCGTCCACACCGACGTGAGCCATGAGGGCAGGTGTGCCCGCCTCGAACACAGAATCAGGTTTGTACAGCTGAGTCCAAGGCCCCCTCTGCAGTCTCATCTCGCGCTCTGCGGCCCCAGCTCCAGGCTGCGGAAGCGGCCTGCGCTGCGATCTGGCAAGGCAGCATGGGCCCCGGCTGTGTGCCGTCAGCCTCACCGGGATGCCCGCGTTTGTCTCCGTAAGGTCTTCCTTGGTGGGTTCTGGGTTTTGCTGGCTCTTACAAGATCTTACCCGATGTCTTACATCAGCACGTTATTCGTTGTTGTTGCTGTTAAGTTGGGGTCTCGCCATGTCACACTCCTGCCTCAACCTCCCAGCTGGCCTCCAGACACGTGCTACCATGCCCGGCCCTAGGCTGATCAGAACGTGACCCTGGGCTTCCCGGTGGCCCCGGTGTGCAGAGCATGGTGTCGGCACACACCACAGTACCCGGGCACATGACTCTTTCTGTTTTTAACTCCTAGAGGCTGAGTGCACTTGCCAGAGAGAGAGAGAGGAGGAAGCACCCCAGGGGGTGGGGGGCACCGTGCAATCCCTTCTCCCCCATTTCTCCATCCCGTCAGGATTTAGACACACACACACATGCACCCAGGGTATTTTTCAAGCCTCCAGGGCTGGGATTTGAACCACAATAGGCCACGTGAAATCAAGCTCCCTTTAACCACAAGGCTATGGAGCTGGCCCCATGTATTATTCTTGAGTTAAATGTATAAAGAGTAACATGGGGATTAAAAACATACACTTGGGACCAGCAGATTATATCATGGTTACGTTACTGGACTCCCACATGACTGACTGCAGTTCAAGTCCTGGACCCAACAGCTTGAAACTCACACCAGGTGCGTGTGCATGTGTGCCCGAGCGTGCCCAAAATCCCTAGAGGAGAATGGAGAAGGGATTGCAGCATGGCCATCCCCTCTGGGGGGTGATTTTACTTTCTGTCTCTCTGGAGAGCAAAGGTGCCCTATAGCAAAAATCTCTCTTTCTAAAACAAAAAGACTTTGTGAGGCCAAAGGTGTCATAGTAGTTAAGGTGCTGGACTCCCACATGGCAGACCATGGTTCAAGTCCCAAACCTGGAGTCTTGAAAATCACACCAGATACATGCGCACACGTGCCCAAAATCCCAAGAAGAGATTGCAGCATGGCCATCCCTTCTGGGGGTGATTTCTCACTTTTCCTCTTACTGTCTCTCTCTGTCTCCCTGGTGAGCACACATGCCCTGTCAGGGTGGGGGGCAGACTTTAGAAAAAAAATGAAAGAAGGAAAATAGATTTTAAATCTTTAGCTAAATAAAATAAGGAGAAAATATTTATGACTCATATCACAGGTAAAGACCAAACCATCCTAATTTAAAAAGATTTATTAAAACATCAAGGAAAAACAGATGAAAAACAGAAATAGAAAAGTGGGTTAAAGAGAGAATTCACAGAAAAGGGTGTACCGACACTCGAACCTATACAAATATGCTCAGTTTTACTCACACTTAAGAGAGACACACATTAAAACCACACGGACACCCTGCTTTCTCTGAATCAGCACAACTTCCAAAGCCTGGCAGCCCCCTCTGTGGGAACCCGCACAGTGCACCCCATGGCAGAGCCCGCACCCCCCAACCACCGCACTGTGCCTCGACGGCCAGCCCACCCTAACTGCTACCCTGAAGGTACAGCACCGATGGGAATTAACAGCCGGCGAGGCTGCCACGTCCACTGAGGCACTGGAGTGAGAAAGACACTGAAATGAGAAAGCGACACTCACACGAACATGCATAAATATGTTTATTCAGAAAGAAACGAAGAAAAGATAAACTAGACATTAAAATCTACCGATAAGGGAAGGATAAGGGAGGAGGGCTCACAGAGAGGAGCAGGCAGGTCAGAGGTCGACCCAACAGGCATCCTGGCTCTGTGTACTGGTTTGGCCCTCCCTACTGGTAGGCCTCTGGCTTTGTTTTGTCCAGTCCTCCTCCAAGAGACTCAGAGAAGGTCGATCCAGCCTTATTCTAGGGTTTAGATCCTTACTGGTCTAGACCAATCATCTAGACCAATCGCTGTGTCCCCTTCTCCCACAGTTAAAAGAATTACTGCTAGGTCCACCAGATGGCAGAACAGTTATGTCGCTGGACTCCCACGTAGTCGACCACATAGTCGAATCCTGGACCCGGCGGCTTAAACTCACACTAGGCAGATGTGTGTGTGTGGCCAGGATTCCAAGAGGAGAAAGGAGGAGAAGGGATTGCGGCATGGCCATCCCGCCTAGGAGGTTGATTTCTCGCTTTCTATCTCTCTCTCTCTCTGGCAAGTAAACACCCTATAGCAAAAATCTGTCTCTAAAAAAAAAAAAAAAAAAAAAAAAGTTTTTTAGAGGTTTTTACTCATGGGAAAATGCAACTTGCCAGAAAGACAGAGAGACAGAAAGCAAGAGATCACTCCCCAGGGGGAATGGCCACACCACAATCCCTTCTCCTCTATTTTTTTCTCGGGATCCTGGGCACACACGCACACGCGCTTAAGCCATGGGGTCCGGGACTCGAACCGCAGTAGACTTCATGGGAGTCCAGCAACATAGCCATTACACCAACTGCTGGCCCTTAAAAGTTTTTATTAATTAAAAAAAAAAAAGAATTATTGTTAAAGCCATGATAGGGCCAGCAGGCAGCACTGGTGAAGTGCCATGCTCTGAGGCTAGCCGATGTAGAAGGTCCCAGGTGTACGTCCAGAGACCTCCCTGAGTACACCAGACAGAGACAATTCACCATCCAGGGCGATCTAGGGGTGGACGCAGCCGTGGGGCCTTGCTGGGCGTGCTAGTTCTCTGTCTCTCTTGCTCACAGAAGAAGTGAAAAAATAAACTTTTTAAAAAGCTATTTTGTGGCTAGCCCCTGGCCTGTGGATAAGTGAGGTGGACCCCACATGGCCAACCACATGGTTCAAGTCCCAGAACAGTGGCTAAATAACGCAGTAGGCGTGTGTGTGTGTGTGTGTGTGTGTGTGGGTCCCCAAAATCTAAAGAAGGGAGGACGTGGAGAAGGGGCTGCAGGGGAACTATGTCCCGTGGGAGGGCCTTTTTTTTTTTTTTTTTTTTTTTTTATCATTTTCCCTCTCTCTCCTCTTTCTATTTCTGTCTCTTTCCAGTGAGTACTTGCGTTTTCTGGCAAATTAAATAGTAATAATAATAAAGAAATAAAGAAAGGTGTATTTTGAATAGGTTTCTGTTGCCTGAGTCAAAACCACGCAACCT